TGGATGGGTCCAGTCCAGCCCTTGCGACAATCAATCCCGAGACGGTCTTTGATGAATCGGTTAATTGAGGCCCACCTTTGTTCAGCACAGTTCTCTTACTACCGGCCTGCTGCTCGCCCTTCCTCTGGGCCACTTCCCCTGGCAAAGATCCGCGGGCTTGAGGCCCAATATCTTGAATCGGCCCATTAGCACTCGGTTGATTGCTTGCAATTCCTTTTCCCTTATTCTTGCGCGTAACGAACTTCCATTCACTTTCCACCGGTCGGCCCGCATTCCACTTAGGCAAATTCTCTTTCTCCTCAATTACCGCTGTTGATTGACTTGTAAATTCAAAATTCAGATCGATGTCCGGATTCTCCTCATTTTCCAAAACATTGAAACGCGATCCTGGTCTATCGGTACCGTGCGGATTTTTTGCGATTTGACCCGACCCTTTGGCTCGCCTGGGTTGCTGGTGGCGGACCCGTTGTGGGACTTGAATCCAGGGTCCGTACTGTGTTGAGGCCCCAACGACCCCCGACGCTGCTTTATCACCGGAACCGCCCCCGATTGAAGTCCCTTCTCCAGAGCCATCGACGTTGGACGAACCGGCTTTAGACTTCTCCTGTGGAGGTGGGGTGTATAGGCAAGAAGAACTCGAATGACCCAGCCGTCCGCAAGAAAAACAAATGACTGGCATATTCTCGTACACGACCCGCTGTTGTCTACCATTAATTGAGAACTGAACACACAATGGTTTTGTAACATCAACCACCACCGCAAGCCTCGCAAACTTTCCCCTGGTTAAAGCCGCTGTTTGCTGATCAACTTTAACAACCTTACCGACAATCCTCCCAATTGTACGGAATATCTTGTTGTGATAGAGATGGGTTGGCATGCCCGGCAACCGTATCCACGCAACCGTGGACGTAACCTCCTCTTTGGTAGCATCGAACTCTAGGGTCCACGGTTGGACGTGCATGTAACCTCCCCCGATCACATAGGGACCACCCGTAAGTACTGTAGCCGCATCCTCTTGGAGCTGGAATTGGATGAGGTAAAAGCCGTTATCGAGGTCCATCATGTTGCAACCCGCCATGAATGGCCACATCTTTGTCAATCTGTTGTACAACGAAGCCATTGAAATTGACTCGTCGAAAGGTTTAATCACCACTGCATTCTTCCAATCTTTACTAATCTTTTGGATGAAACTTTGAGAAATCTTAATCTCAGGCTCCAGGCTGGAACGGTCAATATAAACCTCCTCCTCCTCCTCGGCAGCCGATTCCTCATCTTTAGAACCAATATCCACATGAGACCTTTGTCTGTTGACCATGTCACAGAACGTCCATTTTTGTTGAGGAGTAACAGTTTGAACGGGAGGTACCGACGGTGGCGGATTAGGGTTAGGAGAAGGGGGCCTGTGGTCCTCCCGGAACTCCCCTTGCCGCTTTCGGGAGCGTAGCCGCTTATTGGCCGGGAACAATGTTGACGATAGAGGCGGAAATTCCGTATCCGTGGTGACCGGTGGCGGGTCAACGCCGGGATCGAAAGTGGCCGTATTAGGGATTCGAGCGGCGAACGCAGTTTCCTTTTCCATCTTTTTTTAAAAGTCAAATAATTTTAGTTGTCTTTTATTCTTCCATCAATAATAATTATGTGTCAACTGTCATGTATTTTTATTTGGAATCAACACTATTTATCCTATTTTAGTTACATTTGAACGTGACATATAATGGTTTATTTACTTAATAAGGTGAACAATTTTTATTTGTGTTAATTCAATGTTTTTTTTTTTTGTTAGTTAATATTTAAAATAATCAAATATATTTTCATACATTCCACTTTAAACTAAATTTATGACCAATATTCAATCAATTTAAAAAATATAAAAGAAAATAAAAGAGAAACATCCATTGGATATATGAATATTTTTTCCAACTATTTTCATTCAATCATAGTTTATCTTGTTGAAACTAAGGAAATAAACATATCCATAAAAACATTATTTATATTGTTTCACTTTTTTCTCTAAAAGTAAGACAATTGAAACATAATAAGTTACTCTTATTTTATACTTTTAATAAAATATTATTAATTCACTAACCTGTCATTAAATCACATGAATTTTAATTTGTACAATTTTATATTCTATTTAATAACAACTTCAAAATTATTTCATTTTTTTCTTGTTTCTTTCATCTATATTTTCGGATGAGATTGAGATTTTTTTATAAAGATTTGTATACAATTGCAACTTATGTTTTTATTTTATAATTTCATCTTAGAGTTCGAATGGTTAGTTCCGAAATAACTTGGGCCCCACTCATGTAAATGTCTAGATCCGCCCTGCTCGCGAGCGCTCGAGTCAAAGTTCGACTCGAGCTCTAATTTGACCAAACTCGAGTCGAGCTCAAACCCATGTTTTGTTCTGTCGAGCGACTCGAGATACACGTTAAATTACTAAAATAGCCCTTATTATATATATTAACATATGCGCTTAATTGTAATTTTACCTTTTCACTTAAAAATTTTTGAGTCGAACTCGAGCCGAGCTCTACGTTTTGATTTCGAGTCGAGCTCAATACGAGCTCGAGCTATTGTGATTTTTTTATCGAGTTGAGCTCGAACTTTAATTTTTAAAATCTTTCAAAATTTCTACTACTATTATTAGTAAATGGTTATTTTTATTATATATATAGATTTGAAATGGAATAATGGATTTGAAATGGCAGGTTGATTATATATATTCAAGCTAAATTACATTTTTAGTTCTGCTGGTTTAACGTTATAGCAGTTTAGTTCCATGATTTTAACATTTTGCCTTTGGTAATGTGATTTAATAATTTTTCATAATTTCTGGTCCTCTAAGAACTGAAATAGCATAAATTTCCAGATTTATAGAATTTTTATTAGCAAATTAAACCTTACAGTTTAAAATTTTATTGCAATTGTAGTCCTATAATTTAATTTTTTTTCTGCAATATCAGTCTACAAGTGACTAAAATTGCAACAAAATATTAAATTACAAGATAAAAGTCAAAAAAGTTGTAACCTTTATACTAAAATTGATACCCAACTAACTATAAATGCATTTTTGCCTATGTAATAATCTTGACCAATTCAAGATGAGTACCAACTCATTTATATATGACTTCAATTCATACACTAGATTTCATACACCTGATACACATTTATGGGAAAAAAAAGTTTTTTGATCCTTTATCCACAGGTCGTTTTTAATTTGGTACCGTAAATGGACTGTTTTTGGAAATAGTCCCCGAACTGAAAAAAAATTAGTTTTTTGGTCCTCTGACCGCCTATATCAAGTCATTGTAACCGGCTAAGCTACGTGGAAATTCGCCGATTTTTTTTTTTTTTTTTTTTTTT